TTGTTTGCTTTTGTGGGTTTAATTAATTCACCTGCAAAAATCTCACATTCATGTTATAAATAGGTATTTCGTGTAGCCTACGTGTGCGGCCAAGATATTAATCTTTTTCTGATCTATTTATTGGTGAATCATAAATGTAGACACTCACATATAAGATTATAAAGGGCATGTGACCTTTTTAATCTGTGTATATTAATAAACCAAGTATCCTCCTCAATGCCCAAGGCACGTTTCCAATGGATGTGGGTCACTTCTTAGATTTCTTTTCATTTTTTAGTTCACATCTGATCTGCCAAAACGATCTAATTAACACTTACTACGGCGTGAACAGTTTTGAAGCTAACCAAATGGTAGTAGACCAGTTGTTTAGTTTTGTCAAAGATTTTTCATATAATGGTTTAAGTCAGAGATCAAATTTTGTCACACGTTGAACTATTTCATTATTTTATCTAACGGTTTGTAGGCGTTTTCTATAACAAAATTATTTGATTTTAATATGTAAAAATAGTGAAAAGTACGACAAAACAAAAAAAATAAGTGAAAAGGTTTATCTTAAATATATTTGATGAGATGCTATATTGCATAGGTACTATGGTTTTTATAAAGCATCCACTGTTACAACTTGATGTATTTTCTTAACTAATAGAAAACTAAACAAACTTAATGGATTGTTGTTTTTTTGTTGAAATGTAAAATTTATTTATCAACAAAAAAAAAGTTACAAAATTTAATCAAAAAGAAAACGTAATGATCAAACAGAAACAGAAGACAAGTTATTGCAATGAAAATACCGAGCAAAATAGTAAAATTTTTAAAAACCGATCAAATAGGATCCAAAGAAAAATCGTAGGTGGACTGATAATAGTGTCTTAAATTGGGAGCCTAGAGATCGCTAGCCAGCGATTAGGCCCCTCATCTTCTTCTGGTTCCGTACTTCGTCCTCGCCTACATGAGAGAAGGCGGTTATGAAGCTCCTTATGAATGGTGTGTGCAAGACAAAACTTAATGGATTTTTCTTTGTAACTGTCGCTGAATGATGTTCTTGTCATTGTTTTGTTGAAGCGCGATACACCCCTGGTTGTCACTTACTCGATCACACATTTTAGTTTGTACCAACCAAACTAATTTTCGTAGGAAGTACAAAAAATGCAGTCACATTCTATTATTTACTAACAAAAGATTTGTACGATGTTCTCTTGATTTGATATAATATCTGGCAATTAAACCATGTGACAAGAAACGCCCCGTTGAGTGATTCCGTTTATATATACTTTTTAGATTAAATATAGATAATTACCAGACATGATAATGATAGCTTGACCGACAATTAATGGATCTAATTTGATCAGATTGATTAAATCAAAATCGTGGGGTTTTCTATAACTTAAAACTAAATCGTAGGTTAAGCCGACAAAAAAAAAATAGTATATTTAAAAACACTTAATTCTGATGAGAAATGTATGTTAAGAAAATGCTTTGATTTGTGTTCATTTGGTTGTTTTTCTTTTCAAAAAGAAAGATGTTCATTTGGTTGTTGTTCCTCCAAGTCTCTCCATCCTAGTCCCCAAAATGCTCATCAACATATTGACCGATTACTTTTATTTTTTTGGTTTTTAACAAGTTCAGTATATTAAATTAAGTGTAAACGATGTAATGATTATTTTAAAAAAGAAAAAATTATACCGCTTTTGTTTGACTTACAAAGAAAAAGAGATAACCAGTTCAATCTTTTTTCTTTTTGCAAAAAAGTCGGCACAAACATCATATATATAAGTTGAAAATGATTAATTTGAGAGTAAAATAATGGAAGTGAAAATAATTAAAACAAAAGAGACAAAATTAGAAAATTAGAGTAATTGAGTGAAAAAAATTTCCACCTTTATTCCTTAGTGAAAAAGTTGAAGAAGAATAAAGTAAAACCATTTACTCTAAAAAATATTGATAGGAGAAAATATAGAGGGACCGAGAGTAAAATGTTTTTCATTTATATTTTATACTCTAACAAATGCTTTTCATTCACACCCATGATTTGGTTTGCATTACATTAATTTCAAATTGTATACAAAAATCATGTGTATAGACTTGTTCTGATAAGATAAAAATTACAGGTTACGTAACGGTGAGAAACCCAACAATAACAAAATCTATAATATTTTCTTGAAAAAAAAATAATATAACCAAAAAAAGGAACAATAAACAAC